TCTAAAAAGAAGTACTGTGACGTGTTTTGCGTATTGTTCCCACAAGTAACTAAATAACGTAAGATTTCGTATAATTTGATAACTGAACTAGAAATCAAATCTCTATATAGCTTATAAAAAGGGACGTGAAAGTGAATTTTGATTCTTCTATGTGAGTGTTCTGTTATTCTGCATTTCGATTATTTGTATTTTGTATCTATGTAAAAAGAAGGGGGGGGGGGGCTTACTGATAATCAAGTTATACATGTACTGTAATGAGTACCAATAAAAAAAAAATATATCAAGAATTTGATTTAAAACTAAATACATCCCTTTCCAATTTCTTTTGGCTCCCCACTGGACTGTGACCGTTGATGGATCTTTTACTGATCGATATCAATGCAAGTGTCTGCCGTTTCATGCTGCATTGCTTTGAAGACGACATGCGCATATTTTCATAGCTGATGCGGATAAACTCTATATGAAAATCATACACACAATATTATATCCTTATTTTTATAACTTTTAGTTTTAGGAAATTATGCCCGTTAGAGTGTACTACAGGCTTCTGAATCCCTTCCCGAGAATTCGTGTGCATTTCCTGTCGAATTCACTACGCAGATTTAGGCATATAATTTTCAATTTTGTTAATCAAATAATGAGTATGTACATGCAAAGTACTGTGTTTGTCTCTAAAATTAAATTATTAGCCTTGGCTATATAAAATATTTTGTTCATCGAAAAATTGATCTAAACAAATCGCACACCCTTTTTTAAGCCTTTGGAGATTCACGGTTTTTATTTGAAGCAAAATTTTTCAAGGTCTGTAACGCAAGTTATGATAAGGCCATTCCAAGTTTTTTTTTCTATGTGCAGTGTACGCGGACGAATTGGTTTTGAGGTTATGAAATTAAAAACAAACACAAATTAAAATTGATAAATACAAAGCTTTGAAACGCAAACACAAAGTTAACTCAAATTAAAGTCAACAAATACGAATCTCTGAAATGCATTTTACTCTTTTGGGATTGCCATCCCTCTTTTTAAGTGGTGTATTATTTTTTTTTATTTCAATAAACTAGTAGTTTAACTACAAGTTTTATGGCGAGGAGAGGTCTCAAGTGATAATAAGAAATTCCAGAACTGTTCTGAAAATGTTGCGTTTTTCCCCTTTTGGTTCGTGTGTTTTCTCGGATAGGAAGATAAGTTAGATTGACGCAAAACAAAGAAAAAACTTGGAATGGCCTCATCAATCAGGACTCTTATAACCGGTCTCCTCTTGTGGTTTTAACATAGAAAGTGATTGTGTGTAAGTATATTGGGGATTGTTCCTGGTTAGGGTATTTTACATGAACCATGCAGTAAAGCGGATCCACTGGAATGAATAAATAACGATCTATAAAAGAAATCCTAACATCAGAGAAAATTTTTTTAACGCAGTTTAAGACACCTCGTAACCCCGTAATAGTGAGTAATTTATACGTTTATCAAAAAAAAAAAAAAAAAATTAAAAAAAATACGAAATTAATAGCGCTGCTATTTGTTGGAATGGAAAAGGGGAGTGGTGTTGATGGCTTTTTCATTGCCAAAAATCCAATTTTGACAACTTTATATGGGACGTTCCAATTTTCTTTCTAATACTGATTCATGTATCTTTAAAAATTTTAATGTAACTTCATAGACAATGCGGAAAATGATTGAAGAAATCATTAGGACATTTTTACATAAAAAATGATAATGGAGATGGGCGAACATAGTGTGCAGAAAGCCTATAGCTTCAGATATATAAAAATCATGTTCAGTTTGTGAATTTAATATTTAGAGTAAAGTTGTAATTATTGAAATTTATGAAATTGTGATAAACAAAACTTCTCTGAGGAAAATTTTCTCGGAAAAATTTATTCTTTTATTAAAAAAAATAATGTGGTATTCGTGGGGTTCGAACCCTAGCAAAAAAATCCTGAGTATCATTTTCTTTCGAGACTAGCACGCTAACCACTAGACTACACAAGTCCTGACGAACAGTGGCATTTAAATCATGTTTGTGATATGACCCTTGACTTAATGGACTTCAAGTATTTCTCGAAAAGATGCGAATGTTATGTCATAAAAGTATATTTTTAAGGTATAGTGGGTCATTGCTCCATATTTTTGGTAACCAAAAAATGTATATTTTTATGTTAACTTTGAGAATTAACTTTCAAAAAGGTGGAGCGAAGACCCACTCATATCGAAAAATAGTGTTATAGTATGCGAAAATGACTCTTTTTGCCCACTTTAGTGTATGTCTAATATTTCACAGGCAAATAATTTCAATCTTTGAGGGATTTTTGCAAATTGTAGAGATTTTACATAAAGTATATTTTAATGTTAGATGAAATATCAAGGAAAATTTTGATATAATTGAAATTTAATTTTTCATCTTCATGTTTGTCACACTATAGGCCTATCGCTCGTCATGTTCACCCATCTCCTTTGATACGAGCACAATTTTAAAAGAAGTACTACCTTGTCTCGTCTGTATGGATGAATCAAGCTTCATGATGAAATCGTTTGTAATAAAATTATATTTTTCTTTAAATTATTATACTCCTTCCAGCTATCAAAGATACATTACGATGAATTGAAATAAAAGTTCAAAATTGTTTTCTGGAACATAAGGCAGGTAAAAGTAAATAGTTTCCGGTTCAGAGAATTTACAGATTTCTTTTAACGTAACGTTATAAATCAGTAACGCCGTGATGACGTTATCACTTAAAAATTTGTAATTTCTAAAGAAAACTCCCCATTTTTCGAGACCTCTGACGGAAAAACGGTTTGTGATAATTAAAAAAAATAAAACGATTTTGAAAGGACACATCGTAGGCATGTTTGTAAAAAAGTGAAATCAAATTTGGAGACAGGGCCGCTCTGTTATACTTAACGTACCCAGTTCTTTTACTTGTAGTATGATGCAAGCTCCTGATGCTGCATCTGACCTGAATTTTGCAAAGGCTTCAGTGACTGGTTATTAATTACGTTAAGATATCGATTTACGGCCTGTTCCTGGCTTATAACCAGTGGTAATACTAATACGTTAATTTCCACACATGGCAGATAATTCTGTAAACACTCACCTTGAAAAAAACTATACTTGCTACAACTGACTTTCATTTTTAGCTCTCCTGAGCTAAAAGCTCAAGTACACGTAAGCTTTTCTGATCACATTTTGTCTGTCTGTAAACTTTTCACATTTTCGACTTCTTCTGAACCAACCACTGGGTCAATTTCAACCAAACTTGCCACAAAGCATCTTTGGGTGAAGAGGATTCAAGTTTGTTTAAATGAAGGGCCACGCCTAGTTTCAAGGGGATATAATTAAGAAATAGTAAAAATTTGGTGGAATCTTTTAAAAAATTTCTGTAAAACCGTTGGCCCAAAAACTTGAAACCTATGTGAAACCTACACATAGTGTAAATTCAAGTGTGTTTAAATGATGACCCCAGGGATAGGGTGGGGCCACAATGGGGTATCAAAGTTTTACATAGGAATATACAGGCAAAAATCTTTAAAAATCTTCTTCTCTAGAACAGCAAAGCCATGATTAGTCACATTGATACAGAAGCATCCCCAGGTAGTGTAGATTCAAGTTTGTTAAAATCATTACCCCTGGGTGTAGAGTGGGGCCACAATGAAGGGGGGTGTGTCAAATTTTTACATGGAAATATATAGGAAAAAATCTTTAAAAATCTTCTTTTCAAGAACAGATTAGTCATATTGATATGGAATTCCAAACTATGTGAAAGCTTCCTGAGGTATTGTACATGTAAATTCTAAATTGTACAAAGCATGGCCCCTTGGTAGGGTGGGGCCACAAAAGGGGATCAAAGTTTTACATGGGACTTTATAGGATATGAATTTTGAAAATTTTCTCAAGAACTACAATTGTGCCATGCATATGCAAACACTCCCAAGTTGAGTGGATCCATTTTCTTTTTCAATTCATGCCCCATTGGTTAGAGTAAAATAAAACAGGGATAAAATTTATTTCTCTTATACCGGAAAAAATTTTCTTCTCAATAACTGCAAGGTCAAGTTGATCATAATGACATTGAAACATCTCCATATTGTATGGATTCAGAGAGCAGTAGTGTTAGAGTGGGTATTAATATGGGGTCAATATTTTTCATGGGAATGTTAAATCTGAAGAACAGTGGGGCTAAAACTTCTCAGATGAGTGTAGTGGTCCATTGGCCTATTTTTATGCTCACTGGCTTGTTTGAAGGTCAAACTGTGCATACATGTTCATTCTCCACTAGGTATCAAAATAAACCTTAACCTTGTGGTCATCCTTATCCATTTGTGCTTTGTATGAAGCATGTATTGATTACTTCATCTGATTGACTTTTTATGTGTGATTGACTCTTATCATTAAAGAACAGCATATATATATAATATACATGTATAGTTAGAATAATCTAACTGTGTCTCGGAACAGACCCTCATTTAGCTGGGTCCGTAGGACATTTATCATTTTAATGATAGAACATTCTGTCTAATACATGTAGGCATGTTTTAATATATCTTAGGTGATACAAAAACCAAACTGACATATTGTACTTACATAAATACTGTATTTTCTTGATGCAGAATATAACTGACATAGATTTCATGCTTGATCATCTTGAGTTGAAAATAACAATCAGTTGTTTTTAAACAGGTAAACAATCTACACAATCCAGTCCTACATATTTATTGTTTTAAGCTGAAGTATGCATGAAAAGCAACATTTGATCTACACTTCACTTCTGTTTAAAAATTTAGAAGAAATATAGTATTTGCCATCAGCTTAACATATAAATTGTGCTATATATCATATCTATGTATGCTTCTTTTTGTGAAATACTTTCATAAAATGTATGAAGTTTAGTCACAGATCAGGCCTGCTTGTTTTGAAATAGTTAGACTTAAAGTAATTAAACAAATGTTGATACATTATAATATGTATAATATTTTGTGTAAGTGAAATTGACTTCTTTCAGCTTTTAGGACATCTTTTACTGACTGCTAAACAAGTTTCAGAGCAACAGAATCTATCAAATGGATATAGACTAGGTAAAGTAAAATATGTATTACATATGGTACACATAAACTGAGTTAAAAAATGTATGTATACACAGAAATAATACCTTAAAATTTAATCAAAACATTAAAAACATATGGATACACGAAAAAGTTTTTATTTAATTTCATAGATTGTCTGCTCAAAGTATCCGTATATATCACCCATTTTGTTTCTCATAATTTAATCTGCTTTTTCCCTCAGTAATTAATGAAGGACCAGATGGGGCCCAGTCAGTGCATCATCTTCACATACATGTTATGGGAGGAAGACAGATGAACTGGCCACCTGGATGATATCTTTGAACATGGAGAACTAGAGATTATTATGTTCCCCAAACGGAGTTTGGGAACATATTGTTTTTACTCTGTTTCTTATTATTATTATTATTATTAAGGTCTTCCGTCTCCACGGAAGACCTTATAGTGATTCTATTGTTTCTTCTCATTATTATTATTCTTTTTTTTTTTAGACAAAATTTTGTGCACGCGATTTCTCGAAAACTATTCAATGAATTTCCTTGAAATTTTCAGGAATAAAAGGTCTTTATATGAATTTTATATAAAATTCCGTTTTTTGGTAAATTCGGTTCCAGTGCCAAGTTATGGACAATTTTCTGATTTTAAAATGAAATTTTGTCCGCGAGCGTTCTCAAGAATGGCTTAAGATATTAACTGGAGACTTGTTAGAGATGATAGAACATGATTTCTAGATTGGAGAGGGCACCTTTTCGTTCGTCGTCGGCACTTCCGGTCTCTTACGGAAGTGATCAAAGAAATCGTTAAATTTCAACTTTCCTTTTCTAAATCAACTCTTACATCACATTATTGCATCTCTTTTGTAGTTTTGAAATATGTTGGTCCCACCGGAAACAAAAACGTCAACTTCCGGTTATAAGAGAAAAACTTCATAATTTGAGTATTTTTCTTTCCCATTAATATCTTTTGTATATAAAGTATTTGGAATGAATTTTAAATAAGTTATTCAGACTGCAAATGTGTAGAGTAATCTCAAATATCTTTCAAAAATTCACTTCCGGTCGCGTGTTTTTCTGTCCTCAAAATGAGAAGTAATCTGATCAAGATCTCGGAAACCGTAAGAAATTAAGACACCAGACTTATATGAGCAACAGACCTTAAGATGTAGCCAAAACCACTTGGGTTCAGAGCGTCAGCCGTCACTTCCGGTCGTCACAGGAAGTGATCAAAGAAATCGAAAATTTCAACTTTTCTTTTTTATTTAAGATTTGTATCACTTTATTGCATCTTTTTCGCAGATTCGAAAGATGTTGGTCCCACCGGAAACAAAAACGACAACTTCCAGTTATAAGAGAAAAACAACAAAATTTGCGTATTTTACTTTCCTATCAATATTCTTTATAGATAATGTATTTGAAATGAATTTTAGATATGATATTCAGACTGCAAAGGTCTAGAGTAACCTCAAATATCTTTCAAAAATTCACTTCCGGTTGTGTGTTTTTCTGTCATCAAAATGAGAAATTGTCTGAGCGAGATCCCAAAAACAGGTAAAATATTAAAACACCAGACTTATATGAGCAGCAGACCTTGAGGAGTAGGCAAAACCATTTTGGTTAAACGCGTCCGTCGTAACTTCCGGTCGTCACAGGAAGGGATCAAAGAAATCAAAAATTTTAACTTTTCTTTTTTAAATTAAAGTTTGCATCACTTTATTGCATCTCTTTCGCTGTTTTGAAATATGTCAGTTTCCACCGGAAACAAAAACGTCAGCTTCCGGTTTTAGGTGATAAACTATGTTATTTCGTTATTTAACTTTCTCATAAATATTGCTTATCGATAAAGTTCTTGAAATAATTTAATGTATGTTGTAGACACTGCAAATGTGTAGAGAAAAGTCAGAGATTTTTATAAAATTCACTTCCGGTCGCGTGTTTACCTGTCCTCAAAATTAGAATTTTATCTCACAATATTGCTCGGCAACAGTAAACGACTGAAGTCTAAAACTTTCAGGACTGATAGTCAGTTATCAGTTTATTTGAATCGTCAGAAATTCTTGTATCGCCGTTACTTCCGGTCGTGACAGGAAGTGATGCAACAAAGTGAATGGTTAATGGTTAGCACGTTGGATTTTCACGCTGACAACCAGGGTTAAATCTCCAGAGTGTCTGAATTTCTTTTATCACCTTTTCAGCTTGAATTTACGTTTTTATTTTCAAAATCGGACGGAAGACCTCTCATTGCTCGCAATAAGTTTCTAGTTAAGTCTTCCGTTCACAACGGAAGACTTATAGTGATTGTATTGTTTCTTTTTATTATTAAGGTCTTCCGTTTCCAACGGAAGACCTTATTGTTTTCGTTCTGTTTCTTTTTCCCTATTATTATTATTTTTCTTATTATTATTCTTACCGATTTTGTGCACGCGAGTTCTCGTAAACGACTCGGCCGATTTTCATGAAACTTTTAGATCTGATAGGTATTGATCGGAACCTTATTGGAAATTTTTTTCATTGATGACGTCACTTCCTATCTTGAGATATTAAGGATTTTCTGATTTTCAGAGGGTCGACTTGTCCTGGAAACTCCTCCTAAACGACTTAAGATATTGAGTTAAGATTTTCAGTGAAGATAGAGGAAAGATTATAGATGTGCCATTTGGCACCTGTATTTTTCCAGCTTAAAAGGCGTCGAAGCTCGCCTGGGCTCGAAAAATAAGCTCACAAGCATCTCGCAAAATTTGTCACTTTTTCCTTTATATCTTTTTACCTGCAAATATTTTGTTAAAATATGTATGACAAAAGACATGCAAAATAATAAGACCTTTCATTTGATATCAAGAAAAAGGGGCTGACCCCTCAAATTAGGGAGTCAGAGGGGCCCAAAGTCTTTCAAGTATAATTCTTGAACGATCAATATTTTGTTATAAGTTACTGAAACAAAAATGTTTATCTTAACGATTTGGAAATATATGTTATAAAATTTTGATCCTATATTGCATAATAAGGGGACAAAAGGGGCCAGAATGCCAAATCTTTGACGCTTTATATCTCAAAAAGGGGGAATATTTTGATAAGCAATACTGAACAAAAGATGGTTAGATTAAGGTTCTAAACAATATTCACCCTTTCAATTTTTGTCAAACGGCCCCATTAAGGACTTGGAGGGGTGGCCCCTAAATATTTCCATTCGGCAGATCTCCACAACGAAAGGAAATCTGTAAATATGTATTGAACAAAAAGTCTTCAAAATTACAAGACCTTTCATTTGATATCAAGAAAAAAGGGGCTGACCCCTCAAATTAAGGAGTCAGAGGGGCCAAAAGTCTTTCATCTATAACTCGTTAACTATCAATATTTTATTATCAATTACTGAAGCAAAAATGCTCCTCTTAACGATTTGCCACTATATATTATAAAATTAAGATCATATATTATGTAATAAGGGGCCAAAAGGGGCCAGAATTCTAAATCTTTGACGCTTTATACCTCAAAAAGGGGAGATATTTTGATAAGCAATATTGAACAAAAGATGTTCAGAATAATGTTTTGAACAATATATATCCTTTCAATATTTGCAAAACGGACCCATTAAGGACTTGAAGGGTTGGCCACTAAATATTTCTATTCTACATATCTCGAAAAGGAGAAGAAACTTCTGAATAGTTGTTGAGCAAAAAATGTTTAAAATCACAAGTCTTTTTATTTAATATCAAATAAAAAGGGCTAACCCTTCAAATTAGGGGCTCAGAGGGGCCAAAAGACTAATATGTAACTCTTCAATATGCAACAATATGTTGTAAAACTTTGATTCTCTATTGCGTAAGTAGGGGCCATAGGTGGTCAGAATGTTAAATCCTTTACGCTTCATATCTCGAAATGGGGAAACATTTTGAAAAGCAATATTGAATGAAAGATGTTCAAGATTATATTATATAAATCAAAAGAATGAAATCTAAGGAGGGAAATCTTTATATCATTATCTTTTAACGAAAACTTAATTAAAATCACATCTCATCTCATCGAAAAATCGGACGGAAGACCTACTCGTTGCTCGCAACGAGATCTCATCTAGTTAAGGTCTTCCGTCTCCAACGGAAGACCTTATTGTTTTCGTTCGGTTTCTTTTTCCCTATTATTATTATTATTATTATTATTATTTTTCTTCCAACCGATTTTGTGCACGCGATTTCTCAGAAACGGCTAGGCCGATTTACACCAAACTTTCAGATGTAAAAGATATTCAATTGATCTTGATAGTTTTTTTTGCTTTTTGATGACGTCACTTCCGGTCGTGAGATATTCACGATTTTCTGATTTTCAGAGGGTCGGCTTGTCCTGGAAACTCCTCCTATACTACTAAAGCTATTGAGTTAAGATTTTCAGTGAAGAAAGAGGAAAGATTGTAGATGTGCAATTGGGCATCTATATTTTTCCTGCTCAAATGGCGTTGAAGCTCGCCTGGGCTCGAAAAATAGGCTCACAAACATCTCGCAAAATTTGACATGTTTTCTTTTATATCTTTTTACCTGTAAATATTTTGTTAAAACGTGTATTACAAAAGATGTGTAAAATGATAAGATCTTTCATTTGGTATCAAGAAAAAAGGGCTGATCCCTCAAATTAGGGGGTCAGAGGGGCCAGAAGTCTGTTATGTTTAACTCTTGAACGATCAATATTTTGTTATAAATTACTGAAGCAAAAATGTTTATCTTATCGATTTGCAACTATATGGTTTAAAATTTTGATCATATGTTACGTAATAAGGGGCCAAAAGGGGCCAGAATGATAAATCTTTGACGCTTTATATCTCAAAACGGGGGAATATTTTGAAAAGCAATATTGAACAAAAGATGTTCAGAATAATGTTCTTAACAATATGCAACCTTTCAATTTTTGCAAAACGGCCCCAGTAAGGACTTGAAGGCCTAGCCCCTAAATATTTCAATTCAGCATATCTCGAAAACGAAAATAGATTTCTGAATAGTTGTTGAACAAAAAGTCTTCAATATCACAACACCTTTCAATTGATATCAAGAAAAAAGGGCTGATCCCTTAAATTAGGGGCTCAGAGGGGCCAAAAGTCTTTCATGTATAACTTTTGAACGATCAATATTTTATTATAAATTACTGAAGCAAAAATGTTTATCTTATCGATTTGCAACTATATGTTTTAAAATTTTGATCATATGTTACGTAATAAGGGGCCAAAAGGGGCCAGAATGATAAATCTTTGATGCTTTATATCTCAAAACGGGGGAATATTTTGAAAAGCAATATTGAACAAAAGATGTTCAGAATAATGTTTTAAACAATATGCAACCTTTCAATTTTTGCAAAACGGCCAC